ACATTTTGGTTCATAAGAAGGTCACGGTCCTTGTCCCTTCTTCTTCTTCTTCTTCTCCCTCCTCCCACCACCAAGGGATCTCACCTTCCCCCTCCGTGCCCTCCACCCCCTTCATTGTTTCCATACCTATGAAAATGGCAATATAATAGTTAGTCACACAATACAAAATGACAACACAAGCATTGAGCCAAAAGAACAAGATCATAGTAAGTCACATACGGCAATGGTCCATTGAGCCAAGAGAACATTCCTCCACTACGTCCGCCGCCAAGGCCAAGATCACCACTACGGCCTCCACCAGCACCACGGCCTAGACCACCACCACAACCTCTACCACCACCACCATGGCCTCTACCAGCACCACGGCCTCTACCAGCACCATGGCCAAGACCATCACCACGGCCTAGGCCTTCACCACGGCCTAGGCCTTCACCACAGTCAAGACCAGCACCACGGCCAAGACCATCACCACGGCCTCTACCACCACCACGGCCAAGACCATCACCACGGCCTCTTCTAAGACCTAGTTGACTCCCTCTTTGTTGCCTAGTTCCTCGTTGGCTTGTTTGATTTGATTGGTTTGGCACTCCACCACTTGTTTGACTTGGTTGGCTACTCCTTGGTTGACTTGGTTGGCTATCATTTGCTTGGCTTGCGCTTGCACCATTTTTCTTTGATCTCTTTCTTGGTTTGGGACAAATTCTTGTGTTGTGTCCCCCATGACTGCATTCCCCACAACGGGATTGCTCACGAGGCTCTTGGAATTGGCCGGTGTCGTATTCTCCACCGCCACCACGGCCCCATCCATCCATGTCACCTCTAAGACGCTTTGTCTTACGTCTTCCTCGTCTAACGACCTTCAATTCCGGGTCCGGCCATAGTTGAACTCCATGATACTCCGACCATTGTGATTGGTCCAAGTATGGCTGAAATCGTGGAGCCCATGTATTCTTTACCGTAATGATTGAGAACTCGGACTCCCTCACGATAAGAGGGTGATTGACGTCCACATTCCTAACAGGGGATGTGTTTAACAAGTGCGAGCATGGGAGATGAAGCAACGATGGCCTCATGCAGCTGCAATCACACCGTGTTAGGCAGACCTTGAAAGCCCGGCCTCCGTGTTGGTGGCCATCGTTTGTGGTTCCTCCAGGCTCTTTCACCTCACACTTCCAATCGTTGTCGTCATATAGTACAGCTTCTTGGGAGTCTGCCTTGCGTGATTGAAATTCCAACCATTCTTCAACCTTTGGTGGGAAATTGTACTTGTGCTTATCCTTGTTTTCACCAGCAATCTGCTTATCCATCTCCATTGAGTACTTTAAAAAGTATCCATTCATCTTGTCAAATGTGTATTGAACTATTGCCGTCACGGGTAATGCACGTACACCCTTGAGCACCTTATTGAAGCATTCTGCCATATTGCTTGTCATTTGACTGTACCTCCGGCCATCTTCGTCGAAAGCACGTGCCCACATATTCCTTTCGACAATGTTCCTATTGAGAAACTCATGACCGCCGGGGTCAAGTTTCTTGTGTCTGAGCAATGCATTGAACAATGTGGCAAACCGCTTGTTGGTGAAAGCGAGACAACAATCCTGAAGATCATCGGCCAACTCCTTGATACCACATGCCCTATAGAAGTTTGCACAAAAGTGCCTCATGCACCATCGATGGTGCAACTTTGTATGTTCGGGAATGTCAACCACCACCGCATTTAGAATTCCTGGATGGCGATCCGATATGACACAAATTTCCCTTTCAGCCGGTAATACCCTTGTTCTTAGTTGACGCAAGAACCACTCCCAGTTATCATTGTTCTCCACCTCAACCAAAGCGAAAGCCAAAGGCAACACCCGCTTATTGGAATCACTTGCTATTGCAACCAATAAAGTGCCCTTGTATTGTCCCGTCAAGAACGTGCCATCAATGGCGATGATGGGCCGACAATGCTCAAAAGCCCTCACGCATTGCTCAAAGGCCCAAAATGCACGGCCAAATACTCGGACGGTCCTCCCGATGTGAATCAATGTTTGGTGCCCATGAGGCTCAACCACGTGAACCATGCCTGGGTTTGTGGCGGCCATAGCTAACAACAACCTAGGGAGTTGGTTGTATGCTTCCTCCTAATTGCCATACAACATCTTGAATGCGGCTTGCTTCTCCTTCCATGCCTTGCCGTACTTGACCTTGTAATGAAAGATGGCTTTCACAAGGTCAATGACACTCTTGATGTTAATTATTGGAAGTGTGGATATTTGGTTGGATAACCTGTAAGCAATGAACTCGGACGCGAGTTGTCTGTGTTGTTTGTACACAAGCTTGCCATCCGCATTCTTGTGCCGGCACATGTGACTTGGTAGACAACTCACTATGCGCCAAGTGGGACCTCCTTCCCATGGCCTTGCACGCAAAATCCATGTACATGTTGGCACTTCACATTTGACCGTGTAACGCACTTTAACGTCCGAGTTGGCCACTTTATGTGGACGATAATGCGTAACCGAGTAGTTGTCGAGCCACATCTTCAATTTCAAGAAGGATTGAAACTCACAACCGGGATATATCTCGTTCTTGCCGTCTTCCAAATCACGGTGAGAACTTGGCCTAGCTCCAAGAGATATGCATTTGCCACCATCCACAACAGCTTCATCCGCGAGACTAAGATCCTTGAACAATGGTGTCTTGTGATCCCGCCCGAATACCTTCTTGAATGCTTGAGCCTCCTTGGGCGTGAACCCCTCCTCATCAACTTCTTCATCGGGACAATCGTCATCGGAGTCCGATGCATATGCACGGGAAAAAGGGATGGATTGGTCCATTGTCTCTCGCACATGATATTGGTCGAGATCACCCACATTATTGTCATGGAGATCAACTTCGTTGTCATCCTCCTCGTACTCATCATTCTCCTCTTCAAAGGCTTCATTTTGGTTGTTTGGAGCCGGGCTCAATGTTGGCCAATCTTGTTGCGTGAAATGAGGTTCACTCATTTGATCTTGGTTCATGGGTGGGGGAGTGCTAGCAACCAACGGGGAGGGGTTCCAGTTCAAGTCCAAATTCAAAGTAGACTCAACCTTCTTGGAGGCAAATAACTCAAGAGCCGTGTCTAGAGATTCGGCAACCGTCTCCTTGTATGCAACCCAACGTTGCTCGGAGTTCACACGCATTGTCTTTCAATGGATGTGCATTCCAAAACCAACATTATGCCTTCCCTCGAACTCAAGAACGTCACTTGGGTCCATCCAATTCAAATCATTCCTCACTTGTTCCAAGAGCTCCGCATAGCTAGGACTACTCTCAAACACCATGTCAAGCTCATCCGGGTCCGGCTCAACATGACCTTTCAAAAAGGCCTCTTTATCCACATGATGAACATAAACACATGTTCTCCCCATCCCTACAATAATAAAAAACACACATATATCAAGTAAGTACTTAATAAAAATATTTGCACAAAATACATATGCCCTAACATATATATGAATTAATACCCTAACCCCCACTTAACAATAACCACAACCCTAACCATAGCATAACCCTAACACCAACATCAAACACACATAACCCTAACCCTAGCATACTATGAAAGCCTAACCATACCAAATTAGCAAAGAAACATAACATGATTCAACACAAATTTCCAAATCCAAGCAAAAACTAGGGTTTCCCAAAACTAGCAAGATTTGAGCAAATGTGACAATTCCTATGGATGAAAACGAGGGGATCGAAGGAGATTACCTTAAGGGAGGGGTTGGCTTTGAAATCCACGGTCAAATACTCAGATTTGCAAGATTTGAGAAGGATTTGAGAGGGGGAGGGGAAGAGAGGAGGGGCGCAAGGCTAAGGTTTTGGGTGGGGTGGGAGGGGAGGGAGGGTGGGGCCAGCCTAAGTGGCACACAGGCAGTGCAGCGCCTAAGAGACGGGCGCGGCACATTACAAGTGTGACGCCTAGGCCTTATGCCCTGCACTGTTGTCTGTGGGGCCGCAACTGGACCAGGGCTGCCACGCTGGCAGGAGGTGCGACGCCTAAGGCCGAGGCGCTGCATTGTAGGGTGCGGCGCCTCACTGTCGGGCGCCACACGAAAGGGTCATCATTGTGAAAAAATTTCGTGAGCAGGTCAGTTTGTGATTTGATTTTGCCTTCAGGTCAAATATGTGATTTCTGCCATTGGCTGACGCTGTTGGAATTTTATCTATCCCAAGTGGCCGCTGGTTCTTGCCTCGTGCTTGTGCTTGTGCAGCAGGAGTTGTTGTAGTACACTGCAGTGGTAGCACACGATGCTTGCCTTGACTGGTCAAAAACACTTGGTACGGGCACCGGGTGACAGTGGTGATGGAAGCAAGCTGCCCGTGTGTCAATCGCCTGTGATGTGGAGATAAGGCTGGATGCCAAAAGAAGCCAACTGCCAAAGCCCAAACGCTATGCTGCACAAGCACCCACACTGTTCTGCTCAATGCTGATGGTGGCATTTGGATTGCAACAGCCAGATCCCTGGTCAAAGTGGCAACTTCCAAAGAATCACGCTCTAGTGATAGTCACACCGGACAAGAATGATTGAAATCTTTTATCAATTTTTCGGCTAAATTTCTGGCACTGGACGTTAAAAGGTACAAAAGATGGCAAAAGGAAGACCTTATATGCACAAGTCAATCCAAACATCATGTCAAATCAAAACAGATGTCTCAAGTACTTTAGGTTGATGCATATACAATTTCAAGTTCAACATTCCAAGGAAAATAACATGAAAAAAATAACTAAAAAGGGTCTATTAAACACTTTTGAAGAATCAAGCCCACAGTCTTGGCTCATCCTCTAAAGATCAAATGCAAAAGACAAAAGGCCATAGATTCAATTCACCTAGATAAATAAAACGGATTAACAGCAGAAAGAAGAGTTTCTTATGCTCACGACAGCGCCCAAACTGCGTTGGCATCACCATCAGCCTGTAGTCCTACTACCTCACTTCAGTTCCTGACTGCAAATTAGTTGTCGTCTCCTACTGAGAACCCACTGGGAAGAGCTTGACTATCGCGGCGATAGGCATGCCTATGAAGCCGATGACGATGCAGGAGAACCACTCCCTGAGTGACAGAGGGGTGGTGTTCGCGAAATCGCCAAGGAACTGTACTATGATGATCTGGAATAAGACCGTGCTGCCGAGCACCGCGACGAACACGTTGTTGTTTAGAATGCCTTTGAATACATTTATCCTCTCCATCTCTCTGGAGCTCACCTCGTTGAACACCTGCATAACAAAAACTTCAGCTCATCTTCACACACTATCACCCAGAAAAACTAGCACAGTTCTTTTTTTCATTCAAAGTTATTATTTGGTAATGAAGTCGTCAGACTTGATGCTTTGTTAAGTGTTCATACTTTGCCATATTATGATAGTGACAGAACAGCATTATAGTACTATTATTAAGGATGCGTTCATTATATTTCTTGTAGTAATGGTTATATTTAGTATTTTTGCTGAAACCAGTGTCTGGTTGATAAATAAATGGCATTATTGGAGCGGGGAACAGTGAAATCCTAAAAGACTGTTCGCAGAAATCAAATGAATGCAAAAGAAACTTCGAATTACCTGGCAGAACACAAAGCAATTGAAGATGAGCGTGTTCAAGACTAGATCGGAATTATCACCCTTAAGTTCAAACAACGTCTTTCCTTCCGTCTGCAGATACCAAATTACAAAAAACTGGTAGATTGCCTGTCCCATGATGTTCCTCCACATAATGTTGCTAATGAAGTTTCCTTTCCTTCCAACAGGAGTCCTCTTCATCAGTTCATCGTTTGGAGGTTCTGTGGCCAATGCCAATGCTCCTAGTGTGTCCATGATCATATTGACCCAGAGCAACTGAACAGCAGTAAGGGGAGCACTCCCTGAATTGACAAGCAGAAGTATGCAATAGAGTGAAATATATGTCACAAAATAAACTATGGAACTAATGCTTTGCTACATTAATAGTATAATACTAATTTCCGGGTGTAATAACCTATCTTATAATACTATTACATCTCCTGAAAGGAATATTTGTATCACAACTTATGAGTTTAAAACTTGAAAAAAAGCATGTAGCAGTTAGTTCCAACCAGGAGTTGGTTTATCATAATAACTGGAGAATGAAACAGCCCTAAAGGTAATATACGGAATGACTAATTTAGAATTCAACTGTAGATTATTATTTTAATTTTTACGGAATCAAGCTGGTGGCGTAAAACCTGTCCCTTTAATCAAATGAACTGATTTAGAGTTCAGTTGTTGAAGGTTATTCAATTTTCACAGAATCGGACTATCCCTTCCTTTTCTTTACAGGTTAGTGCCAGCTTAAATGAACGCATCAAAGTTTCAGGTGTACCTGTCATGCAAGCTGACGAGAAGTTCACAACGAGGGCAACCACGTTGACTGTCAGTTGAAACTGCACAAACTTCTGAATGTTGATGTACACAGATCGACCCCATTTGGCAACCGTGACTATAGTGGAGAAGTTGTCATCAAGAATAATGACATCGGCACTCTCTTTTGCAACCTTCAAAAAAATACCAAAATGAGGCATACTGGAGCAAACATGTAATTGACTCTGCAAAGTGACATAATGATAGATCATAAACATGCTGACACACTATTAGGTAGTAATTACATTGGGAGACACTCAATGAGTCATAGCTAGTTATGTCAAAGAATTTTATAGTATTTTATATATTAAATTGACATGACTATTTTTCCGCATACAAGAGATAATATTAATAATTTTTGCTCTGTGAAATTACCTCAGTTCCAGCAATGCCCATCGCAAGTCCAATATCAGCCTCATGAAGTGCGGGTGCATCATTTGTTCCGTCACCAGTCACGGCAACAACTTCTTCATGTGTAGTCCGGAGATTCTTCACTAAGGTGTGCTTGTCAAGTGGTGAAGACCTAGCCATTACCTGACATGATACATACAACAACAGTATGTTGACAAATGAAATCCAGAAATGATAGGCAAGACAAATGACAATAGCAGTAAACATACCTGTATCTTTGGTATCAATTTATACATTTCTTCTGCACTCTTAGTTCTAAAATCTGGGCCTTCAATGGCAAGACCGCCTTCAGTCAAAATGCCACATTCCCGGGCAATTGCCTTTGCTGTGTTAATGTTGTCGCCTGTGACCATCCTGACAGTAATACCGGCTGACCTGCAGATGGCGACAGATTCCTTCACACCCGGGCGCACTGGGTCTTTAATCCCAACAATGCCAATGCATGTGTACCCCTCTTCAGGAATCGCATCATTAGCTGAGAACCCATCTGCAACTTCAATGTAAGCAAGGCACAGAGTGCGAAGTGCCTCATTTGCAAAGCTCTCAATCGTGGCATTCAAGTGAGCAATAGTTGCAGTGTCAAGGGGGACGGCATTGCCTTGGTCATTCAGGTACTTGCTGCAAGATGCCAATATGATCTCTGATGCACCTTTGCAGTGAGCACGGAATGCACCCCCTGGCAGCTGGATGACCACTCCCATTCTCTTCTTCGCGGAGTTAAATGGCTCAACTTTGATGAGGGTGGTTGCTTTTCGCACTGCCTGGAAATCTCCACCGAGTGACAGCCCAAGCTCTAGAATTGCTGCCTCAGTTGGTGTGCCCAGTATTTCGCGTTTGCCATCCTGGTTGATGACAACATCGCCACCGGTGTTGTTAAATATGGACTGCGAGAGCATTGTCATGACAGAAGCCGGTAGCTCAGAGAATAAGCTCTTGGTGTCTGAAGATTTTTCCACTTCTTTAATTTTGCCACAGATGCAAGCCTTGACGACAGTCATGTGATTCGTTGTGAGTGTGCCAGTCTTGTCACTGCAAATGGAGGTTGCTGAGCCCATGGTCTCACAAGCTGCAAGGTGTCGGACAAGTGCCTTGTCATTCATCATCTTCTTCATGGCAAATGCAAGGCTCAAGGTCACGGCGAGCGGTAAGCCTTCAGGAACTGCTACGACAACAATAGTAACAGCAATAGCAAAGAACTCAAGCAGCTCCAGTGCATCATCTCCACTCCAACTCAAGTACGAACCATCCATGATCTTGCGGCGGAACAGGCTTTCAGTGAGCACTGCAAATGTGACAACAGCAAAGACGAGGCCTATTTTGCCAATGATGGTTGCAACGCCGTTCAGCTTGACCTGCAATGGCGTCTCATCATCCCCGCCTTCACTGAGGGTGGCCATGAGTTTACCCCATTGAGTCCTCATGCCGACTGTCGTCACAAGCATCTTGCAAGAACCATCCTGCACTTTAGTTCCTGACAAAAGGAATGGGTTCTCGGCATTGACAGCAACTGGTTCACTCTCCCCAGTCAGGCTTGATTCATTAATCAGCAATGAGAATCCTGATACGAACAAACCGTCAGCTGGTACTTGATCACCAATGGAAAGGTGCACAATGTCACCAACGAGAAGCTCGTATATCGAGAGCTTCTGCCGGTACCCACTCCGAGTGACCTGCACCGTGATCTTCTTCTTCTCCTTGTCAAGGTCCTTGAACTGCAGGGATTGCCGGTAGTCGCTTGTCGCAGTGACAAACACAACCAGAAGAATACTAGCGACGATGCCAAGGCCATCATGCGCGCCCTTGGGCCACCCCTCGGTGGCAATGCCGACGACGAGCGAGAAGAAGGCACATGCAGCAAGGATCATGAGTGTCATGTCGTGGAGCGCCTCCCAGACAAAGACCCAGAAGCTGCGGGCCTCCGTCTCGGCGAATTTGTTGATGCCAAAGATCTCCTGCCGGGATGCAAGCTTGTCCTTGGATGTGCTGACGCCATCCGACTCTGAGGTAGACACCTTTGATATGAGGCCCTCGGTGCCGCCATGTGCTTTCAGCTTCTTGATGTCGTGGCTCTCGACAACAGAGCTCAGTTCCTCAGCACAGATGCCATAGCCTGCTGCCTTGACGGCGGCAGGGACTGTGTACTCGCTGTGGGGAGCAAGACCTGTGAAATTGTGTTCGTGGTAAGATCGACTGATAGAGATCCAGAAGGAAAGGGATAACTGATGTTGATTAATTATATGGTATGCCCTGGTATCATCATACCATGGATGAACTGAAGTGCAGCCTTTGAAACAAGCACAGCAACACGCAGCTTCTCCTGAAATAGGTATTAGTGTGGCGTCAGTCTCAAGAATAACAACTGTTCTCAGATTGCTTGAAGCTGAAAATTGCATATAGATGTAGTAAAAAGCACCAGAGAGAGATGACAGTTGCCAAGCGCTACTGAATGATGTTTTAATAATTTGAATCCACTTGTTTATTGAAGGGCAACTTTGTTGGTTTATATTGACAGCACTCCTGATTGACAGGAGTTGCAGCAGCTAAAGACTACTCCACCAGATATTTAAAAAGACCATCAGAGAAGACCAAAAATAAAGGAGCGTGTTCTTCCTGTAGAATAAAATAGTCCATAATGGAGATTCCCTTTATCAGGGGAATTCCATAATGATGTTTTAATGGAGATTCCCTTTTTTAGGAGCATCCACGTCACGCAATGCTGCGTTTTTCACAAGGCTCTAGGCCTACTTCATTTTTTATTTTATTTTTATTTTTTGAGAATCTAGGCCTACTTCATTCATCTGATAATTGTTCTAGCAAATGGAAACAATCAACTATGGCAAGTTTGATATGCTACATAGAAATCGAAAAGTTATAGTGCAGGAAAAGTAACTTTCGGTTATAGTAGTTTACATACGTTATCTTGATTTTCTTAAAAACAAGGCCTATTCTGAAACTTTTTACATACGTGCATTAATGAGACTGATATAATTTCACTCTAAACAACACAGAAAAATAAATAATTACAGACTCACTCTTAACAAACAGATGCGGCGAGCAATTAGAGGTGCATTTCAGATCAATATCTATATAGTATATTTTTAGTCATTGCCCTCTCAGATGCCTACTGTCATGGCCTAACTAGTGTTTGCTTTTTGGGACGAACCTCTGCATCACAATTTTTTGATAAGAAGGTATATGCTCTACCAACTATGGCATGTGCAACCTGCGCTTTCTGTGCGTGCCAACCAAAGGTTGGGGGAAACGCCTGACAATGGCAAGCGCGACCGCGACAGAAAACAATACATGAGAGATGCAAAAGGGCGAATTAAATTAATTCTCCGTTCCAGAGTTCTTGCTTCTCCAAGAAATTTAGATGGAAATCGAGGTGGGAGGACGGGGACGCGTATGTATGTGCGTACCTGGTTGGTCCGCTTCATGGCGGCCGCCTCGGATCGCTTGCCGAGGTTGGCGGTGAAGCGGAAGCGGCGCTTGGGGTTCTTGACGACGCCGACGACCTTGCGCCATCGTCCCAGCGCCTCGTCGGAGGAGTGCTTGGGCTTGACGCCCCCGAAGTTCTCGTTGAGGTAGCTCTCCATGGCGGCGTCTCTGCTCTGCTCTCCCTGTCAAAGAAGCCCTCCCCTCCTCCTCCTCCTCCTCCTCGTCTCTGCTTCCCCACTCCCCACCAACTCCGCCGTATCTATATAGCAGCACGCGGCTCAGACCGGCATTTTCCCGGAAGGAAACGCGTGGGGGACCGTCGTTGACGCGTCGTGGGTACGTGGGTCCGACTCCGTTGCTACCTCGACCGGCGATACTTTCATGGAAGTGGTGGTATTCTGTCCTTGGGGGTGGCTGATTTCATGGAAGGTGGCGAGTTTTTTAGGTAGGGGGTGATTGATGGATCCGAGCGGAGCGGGGCGGGGCGGGGGAGGAAGAGGGGAGGGGCAACGGGTGGGAGCGAGGGAAAGGGAATTAAGCGGGTGGCGACTTCCTTGGTTTGCTCTGGTTTAGGGAAAGGAGCGTGGATTCAGGGGTCAAACGGAACGGGTCTC